CCCCCGCCGCTTTAAGAACAAGATTAAATAGCTGGCTAATAAGGAGTGAGAGAGGAAGCAGCAGAGTGAAGATTTGTCAGGTACATGAATCAGTGGGAGTTTCGGCCTCTTTTATTCTTCTTCTGACTCCTATATTCTCGACTCTTACTCAGTCATACTCCCTGAGAGCTAAAAGATGCCTGGTCAGGTTTGTGCATTTGTTGACATGATATCCAGTCTAAGCACAGAGTCAGTGGTGATGTATGATCAGTGCAGCTGACAGCAGTGGCCAACCTGGCCAAACGGAGCCCAGTTGGTATTTTCTCAAAGGAATGTGCGGGAAAATCAGGGGCTCAGATCGCTGACTCACTGTATCTGTGAGTGTGTGTGTGTGTGTGTGTGTGTGTGCAGTGGTGAACTATGAAGACATACAAGGGCTGGATATGAAAAAAATAATATTTTACCTGAGTCTATTTTTGGTGTTTGTTAAATACAAAAAGGGAGAACAATTAAAATCCTAAAAAACACTTATTAGAAATGTGCTTAAAATTTGATTCATTATTTGAGTCAGCAGATAATTAATGAACGGCAGCCTAACTCTAGATGAGCATCTGTTAATTCCTGTATTATCTCTGTATAATCCTCTTCCCAGCCTCTCACTCATCTCCTTGGAAAGTGTTCAAGGAAAATGTTGATGATTTTTTTTTTTGCCAACTGTGTAAATCAGTCCACTTTGAGGGGTATTTTCTTTTTAAACTGTGGCAGTGTCTGTGAAGGTCATAGGTGGCCTGGCTGACAATAGATGGCTTTTAATTAAGGACATAAATTCTCACCAGGCAGCCTATTAGCACAGGGAGCTAAAAGACAACAGATTAATTATTAAGATGATAAATCACGTTCAGGATCCTGCCGTCCTGACTGGACTAGCCGCAGTAATCTGTTAGCACAGACGTCTTTATGATACAGGGAGGCGTAAAGGTAATAGGAACTTCTCTTTGGAAACATTAAACAACAGAGAGAGCTAACCCTAACCCATGTTATAGACATCAACCGCAAACGTTCTAAATAATATACGTTTGAGGACGAGTGCAAAACGTTCACCAAATGTGAGTGACCTGAGTCGAAAATAAGAAAAGAAAAATTCATCATAATCCCTCACACAGGCATTTATGAAGGATGGCATTTGTATTCAAAGGTGTATCTCCCTCCAAGGAGCCGCACAGAGAAAAGTCTCCTCTACTTAATTTACGTAATGGAAGATAGGAGGAGGAGTGGAGTAGATTAAAAGACGGGAATAGGAGAGAGAGAGGGAGGGAGAGAGAGAGAGAGAGAGAGAGAGAGAGGAAGGACTGCATGATAAAAAGAAACCTCTCTGGATTGAGGCTTTCATTTTGGACAGCTCCAGCGAGTTAACCATTTAAGTACTTTTATCCTTCAAACGCAATATTAACGTTAAGCCCTGAATGCATGATGTAACAACGGCAGAGGTATTTATACAGCAAGGAGACGCCGCCTCATCTAATGCAGACAGAGTTGTAAGAAGTGGCTTCGTCTTCTGCAGTAACAGAGTTGAAGTTGTAAAGTTTGGCTGTTGTAGCCAAGGCGTCCTTCACTTTGTTTTTGATGACGTTTCAAAACGTTTCTGTCTTCGCTGAGTCAACTCCTGTCTTTGTCTTTATTACAGGTCAGCGATCCGTTAAATTGATTTTGAAGCTGATCTTTAAGGAGAAAATGTACATGTTGGCTTTAACCTCGTCGTCTGAGCCTCAGAACTGTAGCCTGAATGTTTGGACAAAAGGCGGGAAAAAGAAGTGATTTCTGACAGGTGAAGGTAAACAAACAAAGTTAGCTGCGGCTAAGGGGCGGCTAATTGCCGCTAACCGTTCGTAAATATTAGAGCTAACTGTTCCACAGACATTACTCATAAACTTTAGAGAATGGTGCTAACGTTAGTTACAGAGGACAGGACCTGGACTGAGGTTTCATCAGTACCAGTGTTCCACAGTGAACGGAGGACGACTGTTTCACATTCTTTTTTATAACAAATGCAACCGTCGGTACTTCAGACCAATTCTGCCTCAACACCATGTTGAAAACCCTCCAAACCTAAACCTACACCTGTACACCACCAACCAAATCATCAGTGGAATCTTTAACCAGGATGGTTTAGCACGCAGACCAGCAATACCAAGCAAATGAACCACTGGGAACTGATTCCCCACAAGAACCGATTCTTGACCAAACACTGACTAAAACAATGAATTAACAACCACCACAGTGGTTTAACCACCATCTGTGCAGTCTGTAAAACTGGACCAGTTCCTTCATATCAGAGACCAGAAGAACTGTTTCCCTCAGTTCCATAAATGAAGAGCGCCTCCTCTCTCCCAGGTAACATTGATGTTTTGCTCTGCCTCAGTTCAATGGCCTGTTACACCTCATTAGTCTCACCTCATGGTAGAACTGCTGTTTGGTTTGCACGTGGCGAGGCCTTTAAAGTCTGCGACCGTAGAATGTCTCCGTGATGCATGCTCACAACGCAGGTCCCGTGGGGTTGGCACGAGGTCAGGAGGATATCACACAGGTCTTGGATTAACTGCCCCCTGGAGGCTCCCTCATCTCTGGCGGAACAGAAAATATACAGTGTACTTCATTATTTGACCTTGATTGAGTTGGTTGTTTGCCCCTCAGGTTCTGACAACATCATTTCAGAGCTCCGGTCAGTGGCTCCGTGTCCAAGGTGAACGTTCAGGAAATGACATGGCAAAGTGAGATTAATTCTCCAATTTCTCTTTTCAGTGGAAAACTTCTGAAAACAAACCCCGCAGAGACAGAATGTGTCCAACGCCTGAGCACGCTACACAAACTGTTATATGAATCTATCGATTATTTTGATTTAAAAATATGAGTTGGGAATTGTGGCGCCCCCGTCTTAGGTCTGAGCCTCGATGTCTGTGGAGTGTAATTCTACAAAGGAAAGAACTCAGATTGAGGAGGACGTTCTGTGGTCGATCAATTGTTCTCAAAAGATCCAGCGCTTGTCAAACATCGTAGAAACCTGAGGTAAAAAACGTGGGTTTCAGTTCAGTGTTTTTAGATCTGGTTTCACTTCATATGGTGTTCGATATGTTTCATAAACAAAATGTAAGAAAAGCTTCGAGGAAGTGTTAGTTACAGTGTATATTTGAGCTATTATGTCTTCAAATCATTTAAATATTTATGTGTGTACATATATGGACATATATACAAAAGCTGTACATAAATGTTTGTATATATTTAAATATATATATATATACATATATATATATATATATATCAGAGTACTGTACGCCACTTCTGCTTCTTCTATTTATAGAATGATCTATTCTAGAATGATCTATTCCAGGTCAACGTTGTCCTTGTTTTTCCTGGTTATTAAACATTTGTTTTTCCTTTCCTTTTACTCAACACCTTAAACCATGTGGAAGAGTGAAAAAATATCTGAAACAAAAAAGAAAAAGGAAAAAACATAAAGTACACAGTATCCCAGGAAGCTGCTAAGTACTGTGTGAAGTACAGAAAGATGTTTGAGATACAATCTAGCAGAGATCAGAGAGAAAAATAGAGGTAAAACGCTGGGGGTGCTTTCTGCTTAGATCTAATTGAGTGTTGATTTAACAGTCTATTAATAGTGAGTAATAAAACTCTGCTGCTGCTGCTGCTATTTCGTCAGTCTAGTAAAAAATTTTGTCTCTCAGCAATTCGTTTTTTTATTATGACCATCAATTGGTTTTCTCAATTTAAGCAGGATATTTTCTATATTCAATTGAAATGTAAAGTATTATTTATTTTGAATTTATATTTAAAAAATTACATTAAATGTAAGTGTGAATGCTTCCTATAAAAACATGTGATTGTTGATAACTGAGGGTTCAAATCCATCAGTCTTGGGTAGACATCCATCTGCAGCTTCTGATTCTGCTACAGAATTTTCCAGCACCTCTCATACTTAAAAACATGAATTCCAAGAAGAAAAGTTGACTGTTTGTTATCGTACAAAAACAACACGGCGTCTCTGCCTGCAGCTGTGACTGAAGCCCTCCAGGTAAAGCCCGTCCCTGGGGTTCTGTCACGCTGACAGCCCTGTGGTTTCTGCAGGCTTCGTCCCAAGGCCAAGCATTTAACAAGACTTTCTTTTCATGCTCTGGTTTAGGCTCCATGTTTCTCTGCCTCTCACCACAGTCTGGACAATAAAAGCATGCTCTGAAGCTGACAAACAAACATGAGCACACCTCCACAGACAACGACACCAGTTGTATATTCCGATTGTGAGTTGTATTTTGTATTTTATAACACACACAATTTCACAACTATTTCACAACTATTTCCTTTCTGCTCCAAAGGCTCCGAGCTATTTTTTTTTTTTTTTGCTACGAAAGATGAAGAAATCAATATGAAATCATGCACAAATACATAAAACACTTTCATCACATACTTTTATTTCACCGTTTGTTTCGAACTGGCTTTTTTATCAGGTCCTGGCCTTACACACTTCCTGAGACATTATACTGTATATACTGCATATATAAATATAATATTTTTTATATTATATTGATACCTTGTGATCATGATTAATCACAGTTAATCATGATTAATCAATAGCCATAGCTATCAGATTTGACAAACTTTAACCATTTGCCTCAGCATTATTAAAATCGGGCTGTGCTCCCTCACTCTCCCTCGCCCTCCTACAGTAGCTCTGCGCCCCCTAGTGGGGCCCGCCCCCAACTTTTAAAAATAATCTTGAATTATAGGTTCATTAACATCATTGTGGTGTTGATAATCATGAGTCATTAGTATCCTCCAGACTGCACTGATACTAGCTCTCTCGTAGTACTCAGCAGTACTTCATGCTGAGGATGCAAAAAGTGATGGGGATTAAGTTTTTCAGAGTGTTTTAAACTAATTTGATGTCTTCTCTAGAGATTAATAGTGTGTGTGTGTGTGTGGGTGTGTGTGTGTGTGAGAGAGAGAGAGAGGGAGGAGGTGAGAGAACAGCTTGTGAGTGTTTGCTGCGATCCACCACAAAGATGTGTGACACAGTCGGGGTCCAGTCAGTGACTGTGGTGTTTTTCCATCTTTTGTTGAGGGCGTCAGCATAATGCAGCGACAGCGGCTCCTCAGGGTTCAATTTCTGCATCTCATGAATGCTGCCGTAGTAACAGATACTCAGGCCAGGCCTCAGTGAGGTACTCTGACTGCAGCGTTTATATATGCTCAACACTCGTCAGCTTCCTTTGATGGGACCATCAAATTCTGAATGAATTTTCAAGAAATAAATTATTGAAGATTCTGAGTAAAAAAAAAAAAAAAAAAGAATCCCGGCAGGTCTGGACATCTCTGTGTCCAGGCTTGTGTGTGATCACACGTTCAGCTTCAGTGGAAGTGTTGCATCTCTCACCCGTGCTTTAATGGTCAGTGACTTTGAGTTGGAAATTTCTGTCTGCAACTTCCCTGGAGGCTTAAGTCGTACGAGTTAAAACCTGATCTTCACTTTCATTTTTATAGAAAAAAAAAATTGTATGTGTAAAATTGCTCGGATGAAAAATAAACTAAATCAATTCCTTTGAAAAAAAAAAAAGGATCTGAATAAACAGCTTTATTCTACTGAGAAACATCAGAATAAAAAAGTTTTCTTCTTCTCCCTAATTCAAACAGTGTGGCACATTTCAAACACAAACGACAGATTTGTTTTGTAAGATAAGAAGATTACAATAAGTTCAATTACGTTTTCTGGAGTTCCTGCCAAACTAATCACGTCTCGTCAGATTATGAAACTAGATTTAAAAAAAATATATATTAGACTGAAATAATCAGATGTTATGACTGAAGAAAATGAAAACAATAATCCTTCACTTCTCAAAGGGCTTTGCTTTTGTTATTGTTAGTGAATTTTATTATCACTTTCTCAGCTTTTAATTAAAACTAAAATAGTCTTTGTGTACTACGCAAATATATATAAATATATTCATAGATATACTCACATAGACACACAGATACCTACATATGAATACATATGTGTATATATACACATAAATAACCATATATACATAAATATATTAACATGTATGTATACATATATGTGGACACATATTTATATTAATATTTGTGTGTGTGTGTGTGTCAATGGCCTCCATTTTCTTCACTTGCATCAAGCATCCTATCGTTGTCCTTACTTCTTATGTCCTCTAATCAATTTGCGCTCCTAACACCAGCTCCACTGCCCCTTTTTACAGCCTCCCACCCTCCCTTTTAGCCCCCTCCCAGCTGGTTTGGGCTCTCTGTGCTTCATTGCCCTTTAGGACCTGTAATCCATGCTTATTAAACAAGGTGCCTGTGCCATTAAGAGTGTAAAATGAGCCCTAATGGAACGGCTGCCAGCCTGTGCACTGTAGCCATGCTATTTGCACTTATGTGCTACGCTACATTAGCACCATAATCCCACTGGCCTTGCACCGATGCTTGTAAAACAATATATTTTGGAGGGTTTTTATTATTATTGTTACAGTATAAAAATACAGTATTGTTACAGTATAAAAATAATGTCTTTTATTATTATTGTTACAGTATAAAAATAATGTCTCTGATATAGAAGTATCTGAACAACAACGAAAAAGAGAAACTTTTATTTATTTATGTTTTTGTATCAAACCAACTAAGTGACAAAAGAAGAGACAGGTTACTGCTGGGGTCTGATGGAGAGAGGACACAGAGAGTTGAAGGTTACTGATGACAGTGGATTGATTCATCTCACTTATTCCTGAGAGGAGAGTGTAATAAGGGCAATGGAGCAGTTCCACGTCTGTGGACTTGATCATCATGGACTCTTCCTATCATCTCTACACCTGCAGTACAAGGCTGCCTGGGTGTGTGATATACTGTATGTTCAGGATCCATTTACCCTCTACCCATTTGTTTAGTACTGATGTTCCAACCAAGTCATTACTGGGAGGGTGAGCACGATGATCTGAGGGGAAGTTGGTTTCATATTGTAATGCACGTGGACACATTCAAAATCAGTGGTTTCATATTGTAATGCACGTGGACAGATTCAAAATCAGAATCAGAATTGTCTTTATCTTGCATGTGTTATTGATTGATTTTAATTAATCACAATATGCTGGAAAGCATCAGAAATTCAGGAAAACTTCAGGACGTTTGCTCTTAAAGAGTCCAAAAAATATTCCCTGTTTATTGCATTTTTAGGAGGCACAATTTGAAGTGACTTGTTAAAAACAGCAGACAAAATAACAGACTGTATAAAGTAACATTTCTGACACAGAACCTCATGTTACAAGATAGAAATTCCAGCAGACAAACGACAACAGAACCCACTCTGAATCCGAGCTGATTGATTTGAAAAAGCACAATGTCAGTGTTGAAGCTTTGTTTCAGTGATTTCTGCTAAACATCAGTTTTGCTCTTCTTGAAAAATCCCAAGAACCGACTTCAAAGAATAACCATCACAGAGAGCAGCGGATGTTCCTATGGCACTGATTGGTGTCAGCTGAGTGGACAGTAGAGACTAAAGAGTAAATCAATCTGCCGAGCCATGATCTACAATGAAATAACATTTTAGCCA